GCATACACATACTCCTGCCCCCACCATGGATCAACCTCAAGGAAAAAGCTGCAAAAATTCTTAATGCAGCTGAAAAAAATAAAGAAGTAAACATGAAATAATAATTCATTCTACACACATTTATAGATTATATTATCTTAAATTCAAATGACTCGATGCCAAGATACTCTTAGATTTGATAATGACTCAGAAAAACAATAGGATCAAACATAAGCATACACAAAGCAGTAAGTAGCTTTTCTATATACTAGCAATGAAATCACTGAAAGCATGTCTGTACATATCATCCTTTACAACCCAGTAAAAACATACATGTTCTTAAATTTAAAAGATGCTAAGTACCTCTGAAATAAAAACAGTAAAATGCTGAAGAAAGACGTTGTGGAGGGCACTAGGAAAAAGAAAGACCTCCTGTATCCATGTATTGGAAAAATTAATATTGTTATAATGGTTGCAGGTCCAGTGCATTCCTCTCAATAATTTCAGTGTTATTATTTACATAAATAGGAATGTGATCCTAATACTCATTTAAAAACACAAAATCCTCAAAATCACCAAAGCATTCCTGTGGAAAAGGACAACACTAGAAGTATCAATGTTACCCAAGTTCCAGCCATACTGCATAGCACACGAAACAAAACGAACACAGCACTGGGACAAAGGCAGCTGTATAGACTGTGGAGTAGCCTAAAGCATCTGTATTCAGCTCACACAGGTACAGCAATAGGGGTCCATTTAGGATAAAAGTCTTTTTAAAAAGTGGTGCTTAGAGTAGACTGAAATTAGGTCTCTACCCTCACAACTGGATAAAATTCACTTCAAAATGCATCAGACATGAATGCATTACCTGTAACTTTTAAACATAATACCTGATGACGTAGACACTGACTCCATAGATAGGACTCATTGAATTAAAAGAAGATTTGGCAATAGTGTTTTCCTTAAATTCCAAAACTTTTGCACAGGAAAACCAAATCAAATCAAATGAACCAAGCGAAATCAAAAACAATGACAACTAAACTACCAAAAGTGTTAAGACATTTCAGAACGGAGAAAATGTTTGCCAGCTACTCATACAACTAGGGGTTGAAATTAATAAATTAAACACCCCCAAAGCAAAAGTTCAGTGAGTAAATGAAAAAGAAATAAACACTTTCAAAAGAAGTAGAAGTGGCTAATAAATATAGCCATATCATATATGAAAATGCAAATGAAAATTACATTGAAATTTCATCTCCAGTCAGTGCAGCTGCCAAACAATACAAAGCCAATGTTTGTGAGGCTATGAGGGGAAAGGACGTCTATGATTTGGTTAACAGGTAAATTAGTTACACTATGGAAAAGAGTACGGGCTTACCTCCATACCTAAAATAAACATACCTTGTAATCTAGCCATACTATTCCCAGGAGTATACCCAAAGTGATCTAAGTCAACATAATATATAAGTGTGTCACATCTGTGATCACAGTCCTTGTCACAATAGCCAAGTTATACAGTAAGTCTGGTGTCTGTCAATTGGTAAGTAAGTAAGGAATAATCCATTTGCAAAGATAAGTGAAAATATATGAGACTAATTCATATACAAAGAATAAAATTGTATTGTATTTGATTTTGAAAAGAATCTTTCCTGTGTGTGAAATCAGAAGCATTTTTAGCCTACGCTCTATTTTGCTTAGTATAACATGTTATCTTATTTTGTTGATATTGCCAAAAATGTCAGGATCTCCTTTTAAAATTTGAATAATTTTTAAGGTTTATATGTTTATGATTTCTTTATCTTTCTTTTTTCCTCAGTGGATGCTTAGATTCTTTTCATGTTTTGGATAATGTTAATCTGCTACTGAAATCAATGCAGTTACATATGAAAGAGGAGACATTACAATGGGTGGCTCAGAGGTAGAAAGCATCCCTATGGGATTATTAGAAGTAATTATGTGGCAACAAATAGGATGACCTGTGGAAAGTGAAGGATCCCTAGACGCAAGGTATTTGACAAGAGTGAACGAAGAAAAATAAAAATTAGAAAGCAGGCCAATTACAAGCAAAGATATTATCAAAGTTGCAACTACAAACACAAGGAAGTAAAGCCTGGATCAGGTGGCATCAGGGCAGAATTGTAAAAAGGCAGAAAGAGTATCCACCCCTTGAAAATTCTCTTGACAGTGTCTGTAGCTTGTTATGGTCACTTTCTGTCTGTAGACTGTGCTTCATCTTGCCCTATAAAATGTCTTATCATGCCATTTATTGAGGCCATGTGGATATGTCTGGCCACCAAAGTACATAAACACTGAATGCAAGATATCTTGCTATTCATAAGTCACATTATTTCCATTGCTGGATGTAATGCAAGTGATGGATATGTCTTAAATTTCTTAGAATCTCGTCCTCCCATCCCTGACTCATAAATACACAATTGAAAGAGTTCTACTCATTTGTTCCCAGCTTCCCAGACCCAAATAACCACATAGAAACTATATTAATTAAAACACTGATTGGCCAATGACTCAGGCATATTTCTAAATAGCTCTAACATCTTGAATTAACCCATTTCTATTAGTCTGTGTATCACCATGAGGCTGTGACTTACTATTAAAGGTTCCAGGCATTTGTCTCCTCCAGCAGCTACATGGCATCTCTCTGACTCTGTCTACTCTCTCTATACATATCTTCCAGCCTGGCCATATTGTGCCCCGCATATTTAATTAACCAATGGTAATAGAACGTATTTATAGCATAGAGAGGGGAGTCTCACATCCCTGGTCCACTGCTGTGATATTTCTTGCTAGACTTTTTAAGTGAAATGTGAGTATAGGGCGGGGAAACCTTAAGAGGTTTTGATGATGCTTCAGAATATAATGAGCTTGTATCTTAAAGTTGTGACCTTCATAAGTGTTCTCCATTGATGTCTGTCTCCTGTCTGTCCCTGAATGTCTTCTTTCCTGACCTTAACTGCTCACTGGTATGGCAGTGCATTGGCATTTTCCACTTTAATGAAACACAGAGGACCAGTCATTGAGATAGATCTCTGGTGGGGACTAATTCCTCCCCACTTGACTGGGGAAAACTTTTGAAGTTCTATTTTGGCCAAACAGCTTTCTGTGGAGAGCATAGATATTACTGTGAAGAAATCTTTTCTTGTGCCTTGAGACAGTTATTCTTACAATGCCCTGGTTAGTGTCCAGACAACTTCTTTCTTGGCTGTTCTTTGTGAGTCCCTGGAGATTTCTTGGTGATAAACCTCAGAAAATATGCCATCACCCCTTTGAGACTACAGTCCCATGGTTTTTTTCTTTCTCTTGGTTGTACATACTAATTTCTAGAATTCATGAAAAATGTTCATAGGTGTGTTTTTATCAACATGGTTCTAAGCTGTACTGTTCGTAATAAGCAATTCCCCATTTCTGTATTTTTCTGTCTGGTTATATACCCATATACCTTCCCATCGCTGAGTTGTCCATCTGAACACTTTCCTGTACGGCTTCCTGTTGCTTCCTTGTCTGTCTGGATAAATCCCTGTATAACTCTCCATTGTTGCACTGTCCCTCTGGACATACGCTTGCATTTTGAAGGGTGTTTCTACTTCAATTTCTGCCCTTCTACAGTCCCACAATATCGTTTTTCAGTTATCTTAGCCTTTACTAATTTTTAAAATGGACATAGCAATTTACAAATTCCTTATATTTAGATCAGAAATGAGAAACTGGGAGAATTTATTTAGACTTTTAGTGGTGGTGACTTTGTCTAAATTTGCATTATTGGGACAAAAATTCGACCTCTGTTTGTTATTTGTTTTGTGTGGCTGTTCCTTCCATTTCCCTTCTTTCTCCATTCTCCCTTTGTACACTCCTACCTTCCCCCCTCTTCTATTCCTTTCTCTTTCCTCCCTTCCCTCTATTTTCCTTCTCTCCCCTTCCCTGTTTTCCCATTCCTGCTCTCTTCTCTTCCCCCTTCGCATCTCTTTCCTTCCCTCTCATTCTTCATCCTCCCTTCTTTCCCTTCATTGGCGCCTCTTCCCAGTGTGCTGATGCAGTGTGGCTGATAGATCAGCTCTGAGACTGATGCTGTGTTCATGGGGAGATGAGAGACTGTGCCTGTGCCCAGTGATATATGTCTTAATGAAACCTATATATCACTTAGCAATCTTAGCTCCCACATAGGATTTTCCTTGAGAGGTTCCCATTACCATTCTTTTAGCTCCATATAGGACAGATAACTGTGTTCTCATCTATGGTGCTTGATTAAGAGATTTTTAAGTATTTGGTGAAGCTGAACAAATGTATTCCAAAAGTGACATGCTGGGTAATTTTTCATCTCTTCCAGCTGAGACTTTCGTTTTTCTAGTCATGCTTGTTGGTTTTCTCACCCGAAATATACTTGGATGTCACACTTTCTTCTTGTCTCAACCCCATTCTTTCTGATTTTAACCAGTTACCGCTCTACTTTTGTCTACAATGCTGCACAGATTTCGGAAAATGTTCATTGTTCTTGATGTACTTCTATTTTGCCACTGTCTGGAGCTTAATTGTCCACTGATCACGACTTTTAGCTGAATATTTTTATTCTGGCAGTAAACCATCATTCATTTTCTAAATCCCATTTCCTTTTAGAAAGTCTTTCTAGTTTCGTCCTGAGCTTTACACCTTTCATTTTCCCTGGGATACACCTCTGCCACTCTGTTCTTTATAATGATTTGTTAAATGTTTCTTGCCCTCAAAAGAATATGTGTCCTATGGGCATGCTTTTTCCTCCACAGCTTGGTAGAGAGCTGTCTGCATGTAGCTGCTCCATACACACAGTCATGGGGGAAGGGAAACGCTGCTGATTTATCTTGAAAGCTAGCTTCATGCCTTCACAGCTGCACTTTCTGATCTCCTTTCATCCTTCCTTTCTCTTTCAACCCACACTTACATTTTTCAATTACTAAATATATACAAAACTCTGCTTACTCCTGCAAACTGTTGTTACACACACAGCACATAGATGGGAGTGCTCACTTTGGGAAAATGTATGTTTAATCTCTAGATGCAAGTTCCACCTTCATTTCTGCTTCTCAAATTATGCCAACTTGATTGACTCATTTTGTAAGTAATTTCTTCACATGGAGTCATCATGCCTTTTGGACCTAAAACATAAACACAATTTTCTTAAGTCTACGTAAGTCATAATTCCTGCACAGTCAAAGCCGTGTTTGCTGCTGGCACATACACTCTTAAAAGAACATTTCTAGAAACAAGCAACAGATGGAGAAAAAAGGAAACATGGTGCTTGAGAGCTGAACTGGTTGATGCCTTTATTTATAGTAGTGCTTGCCATTCCTATTTATCATGTGAAATAAAAAACTTTTCCAGGCCCTCCTCAAAGTAAACACTTAACAGGGCATTCCCTTGTTCATTTCTCAGACTTATAGGATGGGACAAATGTTAGCAGCAAGACCAGTTTAATTCTGTAGACTCCCAATGGTGGAGGCAAATTGGGAACCTAGCTTGACTGTTACCACTCTTCACCTAAAGATGGCTACACAAAATTCCTCTTGGCTCTATTTCTTCCATGTGCTCCTGCCTCAAGTCTGTTAATGGCACCATCCATTATTCCAAATCCTGTAAGCTGCAATAGGATCATAAATCTCAGCCTGATGCTGCAGCCCAGAGACACTGAGCAAGTAACTCTCTTAGTGACAGTTGAGAAACATATTTTCTTACTCTATCAGTGTGCCCAAATGTACCATCAAGTATCCAAAATCGTGGTGTTAAGACTGAGGAACAATTGGCTGAGAAACCTGTGAGCATGAAGAAGGGGCATGTAAAGGTAGTCCTCCATTGCAATGGGCCATCCCAGCAACCTGTGACAGAAATAATCATTTTATTTTTAAGCTATGGAAGCAAGAGCATTCTGTCTGCAGTTGCAAGTGTTGGGAAGCTAACCCTATTTCCAATGAAGGTGTCTTGTCTGTAAATATTGAGACCTGTATATGCATTGTAGCATTTATGATTCATTTTTCATTGGTGAGTTAGAGTGTTTGACATTTCCACATTAGACTGTAATGTATTGAAGAATATTAAGTGGGTAGTTTAAAACTCTGTGATTCATGACAGAAAGCAGTGAGTGGACCACATTATCTGATCATTGTCACAGCCGGTTTGAGCCGCTTATCTGCTTTCTTTGCATCTGGTTGTAGAGATAAACTATCTTTAACATCATAGCCTAAAAGTGCCAGTGAATCACTGGAAGCTTTCTGATTGACATTCACAGAGGCTTTCCATTCTCCTGTCTTAACATTTCCTGCTGGGAATCAGTTACTAAACAGGCCTCACCACACTGTGGTTTTCCAGTGGTCCAGTAATTAGATTTCTGAAAATGATCTGACTGAAGAATAGAGATCCTTTTTTCATAGTTGATAACACCTTGGCTATCTTCGTTAAAAATCTAAATACCATTGATTTCGGGGGATTTAATTTATGACTGTGTAGGGCAAATCTTTATAAATGAATCCCTGCCTTTCCCAAGGGCATCCAACACTCCAGTTGACAGAAAATCATTTAGCAGGAAAGGGAATGTTTAATATTGCCTTGGGGCATAACTCAGGTACTCACTTTAATACACGCTTCTCATCCTGAAAGGAATTGATAAGCAATGTCTCCCAAAGTAAAATATTCTGATGTAACTGAGCCTGGGATCAACGGAGATAAAAGATTTTGAGGATAGATCAGTGCTGCTGGAGGCTTCCCCTGAGGGGCTTTCTCTATTACTTTGGGGGAAGTGGGAAGAAGGGAAGGGATTTTCTGGATTCTTCATAATCAGATTCAAATCTCTCAGAGAGCAGTAAATAGATATTTGTTGAAAAGATGGTTGTATGGATGGAATTTGGATCCTTCTGGGTTTACTCTCTTTCCAATTATATCAGATAGATGGAAAAAAAATCAATGTGAAGTGAAGCCTGTAAAAGGTCAGGGTAAGAGTTTAGCATTGTGGTAATTTAAAACATCAGCAGTTCTTATGAGATAAGTTGACCCTTAGTGTGAGCATGAACACACAGTACTTGTGTATATGCATGCCAAACTAGTAATATCATCCTCATTCACTCTCAAACGTGTTTTAATTTGGATGGATTATTGATTTTCCTATGCTTAAAAAGTGAAACGGTGATTGGTTTTAATTGTCAGCTTCATACATCATAGAATCATATAGGAAGAGAATCTCAATGAGAGATTAGTTAGATCAGGTTGGCCTCTGGCATGTGTGTGGGGGATTTTCTTGATTGTTATTTATTATGGGAAGAACCAAGACTACCGTGTGTGGCACTATTCTCTAGTCAAGGGATCCTAGACTTTGGAGGAACAGAGAAAGTACTAAGCATGTATGAATGTATTCCTTTCTGCTCTCGATTGTAGATGTAATGTGACTAGATATTTAAGGTCCTGCTGTCATGTCTTCCCCACAATAATGGACTCTAACAGATAATTATAAGATAAAATTAACCACTTAGTTGCTTTTTATAAGGATATTATGTCACAGCAACAGAAATGAAGCTAAGACAACTAGTGTAAAGAAAAGACACTTCAAGCTTAGGCCAATCACTTTGTTTTAGTGAGCTCAGGACTGATTAATATATCCCATAAAAGTACACCCAGCTGAGTATCAAGGGCCCATCACAAATGCTTTCTCAGGTTCCCTACTTTAACCAGGGAAATCACTGCACATGTATGTAGGGGGAGGGACTCTGGCATAACTTCTCTTTCATATCTGTGTTTTACTAGGTTATGATGTCAGTATCATCTAGGTGTAGACTTCATTCTCATTTGGAAAAAGTATTGTTGTACAAGGTGTGGTGAAATTTATGTCTCTGTTCTACAGTTGATACACTTTTAGACTTTAATCAGTTGGTAATTAGAAATACAAAATATAAAGAGAGCTTATTTTGAAGTTAACTGCAATGATTTTCATTAGTCCTTCTAAATCTCTATAGTGTACATTTTCTTAAATTAGGGGGTACTATTTACAACTCCTATGCAACTGGAATTGATCTATAACACATAATATGTTAAATTAAAATTGTTGAAGTTTTGTGGCAAACTCCATAATTTAGATAAATATTTATCATTACTCATAACTGTATACACTCGGTTATATTTTCCGGCATGATAGATGTTTAGTTAGTCTATTGTTCTTTGTAAATTGCTTAGAAATCACAACAGAGTTCAATATCTACAACGATGCCAATGTCTCTGACTTGAACAGAAGAGTTTGTGAACTCAACTGTTGGAAGATCAATTGAAAAAATTAATTGAATGATACACTGAGATCTCAATGCAATGTGGCAATAAATTACATATTAAGAGCCATAACAGGTGACTCCTGTCATTCACAAAGTCCTCTAATACAAAACTTAGAACATTCTTGAATTATGTTGCAGAGAAGACTCATAGATGAAATAATAATGTTAAATTTAAATTAGATAAATATGATATTTATTGTTTGTGGGTGTGTGCAGATCTTCATGGAGGCCAGGAGAAAGCATCATATTCCCTGGAGGTGAAGACACAGGAAGGCAGTTGTGTGCCTCCCAGTGTGAGTGCTGAAAGCTGAACTCAGGTCCTCTGCAAGAATGATACATACTTTTAGACTTGAAGTCATTCTGTAACCCTTCCAGCTATTTTGAATTGAAAATCAAATTTCAATTCATACCAACTTTAAGAGCAATAGAGTTAGATATGTAAGCTGACATATTAACCATTTTGAGTGTAGATTCCAGACCCATGGGAGAGAGTAAAAAAAAATATTACATACTCAGAGAATTTCTAATCACTGTCTTCACATTGTATAGATACGGCTTTCATTTATACTACTTATAAACAGTGTTTCTTTGAGCATAAGGAGGTATCACTGAATCCAATGCAATGCTAAGAAGGAGTAGGAATGACCTAAGATAAATCAGTGAAGTAAAAATCATGAGTAGTTATGAGATAAAAGTGCTAATCATGATTGACAATTTGTATGTCTAACCATATATGGCTTTCTATAAGAGCCCAGGTTGATAATTAAGCATTGAAAATTACCGTCTCAATTCACACACAGGAGAGGTTGACACAGATAAGGCCTTACATCAGATCACACATCAGTAATCCATGCGTGGCTGATTCCTAGGGCTACGGTGACATGTAGAGTTCATATATGTTTATTAATGTACACTAGTGATTTTTCAGTTTGGGCCCATTTTAACATTCACATTCTTGTGTCCATTTTGAGAGTTCATTTTCCAAGAAACCTGTCTCTTGGGTGATTCTCCAGTGGCCTTCTGAAGTTAGAAATGTTTTTCAAGTGTTGTTTTCTGACCTGGGTATCACAGTAGCATTAAGAAAACAGAAGAAAAGAAGTTAAACGAGTCAAGATGAGTGTGATCGATTTGGTCAAGGGATGTAGTACAGTTTTTGGCTTTGAAATGGTCAGTAGAGAAATATCAAAATGTCTTATCTAAAGTTATTTGATGACTTTTGTCCTATTTCTTAATTGTCTGCCTTTTAAACTATAGCAATCCATGTCCACAAATGCAACTCTACCACTATGGCCACAAGAACCACAGCCTGAAGAAATTCTGTTTCCTCAGGCACCAACACTTTCAAAACTACTAAAAGAACTTATCTAAAACTCTGTCCCACTAAAGAATTCAAGATTCAAAAAGTGAGGTAGAATCCTGCTTCCCAGAGAGACTGAATAGCAAGCAGCTCACCTAGCTCGCCTCCTTGCATCTCCCTAGAAGTCCTTGTGGTTTTTCTTTCCCTTCTTTATAAACCCTTCACCTGCTCCTCCCTACTACTTCCTGTAAGCTAGTTTCTGACACACCCTTCAGACCACAGCTAAATTTTATTTAACTAAACACAACTTTGCATCATTAAACAAATATTCCAGAGCATAAACAGAAGTGACACTTTTTAAAATAATCTACAACAGATGACTGTCCCACTTGGTGTCTGCCTGTAATCTCAGCAATCAGGAGACTGAGGCAGAAGGGCTGAAACTCCAAAACTAGTTTGGCATACAAAGCCCTAGAAACGTATTGAGATTTTGTATAAAAGCAAAAATGAAAAGGGAGCTTGAGAATTAAATAGTTGAATACCAATCTAGCAT